GGCGCCCCCTAGAACGTAAACCGTGGGGTGCAGCGTCATGATTTTTACAACTTTGAATGGGCATGGGGTGTAGATTGCCCTGAGCAAATTTGGTATCGGTGGGACGAAAGCCTTAGGAGGAGATAGCCACATTCCAATGTGTGCGAATCTGCAAAAAATGCAAAATAGCCCTTTAACCGTACATTATACAGATACGCGCTCTTTGACTTTTTCGTAGATCTAATTGAGATACACATGATTGTCAATTTTTGTGTCAATATGACAAAGCGTTCAGGCGTGACACTCAACAATGTGTATTTTCATGTAAGGGGACAAGAAAAAATTGACTTTTTTCTCCTACCATGGGGGGCGCTCTTTTGGGGAGTAAAAATTCCTTCACAAATGTGTTGATGGCTGGACATTGCATCATCCTAGAAAACTTGGAGGCCAGTGAGGACAAAAATAAAAAGTTATAAAACATTTAAGAATGTGGATTTTTGGGTTATTTTTGGCGCCCCCTAGAACCTAAACCATGGGGTGCAGCATCATGATTTGAATAACTTTTAATGGCCATGGGGTGTAGATTGGCCTGAGCAAATGTGGTGCCGGTGGAACGAAAGCCTTCGGAGGAGTTAGCGAAATTCCAATGTGTGCGTATCGGCAAAAAATGCGGAATAACCCTTTAACTGTACATTTGACAGATACGCGCGCATGGACTTTTTTGTAGATCTTATTGAGATACATGTGTGTGTCAATTTTTGTGTCATTTTGCAAAGCGTACAGGCGTGACACTCAACAATGTGTATTTTCACCTTAGGGGACAAGAAAAAATGGACTTTTTTCTCCTGCCATGGGGGGGCGCTCTTTTGGGGAGTAAAAATTCCTTCACAAATGTGTTGATGGCTGGACATTGCATCATCCTAGAAAACTTGGAGGCCAGTGAGGACAAAAATAAAAAGTTATAAGACTTTTAAATATGTGGATTTTAGGGTTATCTTTGGCGCCCCCTAGAACCTAAACCGTGGGGTGCAGCGTCATGATTTGAATAACTTTTAATGGCCATGGGGTGTAGATTGGCCTGAGCAAATGTGGTGCCGGTGGAACGAAAGCCTTCGGAGGAGTTAGCGAAATTCCAATGTGTGCGGATCGGCAAAAAATGCGAAATAACCCTTTAACCGTACATTTGACAGATACGCCCGCACTGACTTTTTTGTAGATCTTATTGAGATACATGTGTGTGTCAATTTTTGTGTCATTTTGACAAAGCGTACAGGCGTGACAGTCAATAGTGTGAATTTTCACCTTAGGGGGCGCTATGGAGCCATTTTGCATTTTCTTGTTTGGGCGACTTCGGAATATCAAATTTTTCACCAGGCCCGGTCGTCCTGCCAAATTTCATGAGTTTTCGCCAGTGGGAAGTGGGCCATTTTCCAGTTCAAAGGGGAGGAAAAAGAAGAAAGAAAGAAAGAACTAGGGCCCCGTTGGGGCACTGGCGGGCCCGAGCCGTGTCGCACCCCCCCCCCCCCCCCCCCCCAACGCGCTGCCTCCCCGTCCCATTCGTGTCCTCTGGCCATCGCCCTCTCTGGTAACGCCCATCACTGCAAAGACCCTTTTCCTTCATCGGCGTTTGCTGTTCTTCCTGCCAGTGCGTGTTGCTTTCACTTACACTTGCCACAGCCAGCCTCGTGAGTGCCTAGCCTATTGGATATCACTGTCACCTACACAGGACAGTCATACTTTGTTTTTTAATTTCACATTAATTTCCATATTGTATAAACGACTGGAAAAAACTTGAGCCCCTGCCCCTGTATTATCATGTGCACGTCCCTGTTCTAGCTCCAAGGTGAATCTTCACTGCTCATGTTCTCCTCAGAAGCAGTCACCTCACTCCCCTCAGGTTACTGTACACATGCACCAACTGCCTGCTTCAGGTTTGGATGGAGCTTCATGGTTGTCTTTTGGAGAAATGAGCAGTCAAGTTGTGTTTGAAATTTGATTTTTTTCAGGGGCAAAAGGAAGCCTCTGCATTCTTGTCAAATATGTAAATAGCATGTTTTTGCAGGTGCTAAAAAACAGACTCTGAGTGTGTGTGTGTGTGTGTGTGTGTGTGTGTGCGTGTGTGTCTGTGTGTGTGTGTGTGTGTATCCTGCAGTACTCTGAGAAGAATAATAAGCATATTTCTGAGGTGAATTTTGAAGATTCATCTGAGAGTTAGGTTTGATTCGATTCGATTGACGCTCCCCAGCGTTCAAGTCACATGACATATTTAACCGGATGTAGCTGCAAGACGGAGCCTCGTTAACTCTCCGTTTCAACTTATCTCAAAAGTGAGGACCTCAACCTATATACCAGTTTTTAAATTGTGTTGATAGGCCAAATAAAACCAGAGTTATGATAAATTATGTCCGCGATACTTTTTTTCTGCTTATTTTGATCACGTTCGGCGCTCGATCGCGCTGTATGAGACAGGAAAACATAGCATGCACACATTAGCGACAGGTCTTACAGGCGGAAAAGGCTTGCCAAAAGAAAAAAAAAACACACCACAACATCTCTCCTATTGGTGGAAAACTTCACCACAACAACCAATCCAAAATTATATGGTGACTGATTGACAAGGGGCGGGCGCTTACGTTCTTCCTGCAACATGAGAAGGGAGGGAGGGACTCTCAGCAGGGATGCAGTCTGGGACAAGTAGTTGCAAACCTAACGACTTTGTTGTTAGATTCAGTTACTTTTCAGACCCCCTAACGACTTTTTTTAGAAAGAAAGGGACTTTTATCGACTTCTTCTGGAGTTTAGAGACTCTGACATGAAGCAGGCTTTCCTTACTGAGGAGTTAGCAACGCTGCTAAGGGTGCAGAGCCACACATGCGCTCCGAGCTCTGCATGGGAGACTGAAGCTGACAGAGCTGCAGCAGTTAGCAGGTTTCACCCTCAGAGACCACCAGGGGTTCATGTTGAGGCATTTTCAGTTTTTGTTTTTTTTGCCATAGACTGTCAGCACAATCTGCAGTTACACTAACAAAAATGCTGCAAAAAACAAAGAATTATGGAAAAATTACACATGGACTGACATAGAGGAGGATCTACACAAGTTTTTTACATCATGTTTTACATCATGCATCATTTACATCATGTTTTTTTGTAGTGGCATAAATAAAAAGTGACATTTGTGAGACTATACAGTGTTTTGTAAATAATTTTACAAAGAACGCCTGGGCCATTGCCTGCATTTTGATGTAAATAGAGGTAAATTACTATGTTCTTTGTTAAAAATTTGCATATGTTTTGAAGTTTACAATTTTTATTTGAAGTTTAAGTTTTAAAAACAGTTCATCACACATATTTGTGTTTTAATTTCACATTAATTTCCATATTGTATAAATGACTGGAAAAAACTTGAGCCCCTGCCCCTGTATAATCATGTGCACGTCCCTGTTCTAGCTCCAAGGTGAATCTTCACTGCTCATGTTCTCCTCAGAAATAGTGACCTCACTCCCCTCAGGTTACTGTACACATGCACCAACTATCTGCTTCAGGTTTGGATGGAGCTTCATGGTTGTCTTTTGGAGAAATGAACAATCAAGTTGTGTTTGAAATCTGATTTTTTTCAGGGGCAAAAGGAAGCCTCTGCATTCTTGTCAAATATGTAAACAGCATGTTTTTGCAGGTGCTAAAAAACAGACTCTGAGTGTGTGTGTGTGTGTGTGTGTGTGTGTGTGTGTGTGTGTGTGTGTGTGTGTGTGGCGTGTGTGTATATGTGTGTGTATCCTGCAGTACTCTGTACTCCTGCAGTGGCCAAAAAGACTTTTAAGAATGTGGATTTTTGGGTCATCTTTGGCGCCCCCTAGAACTGCAGTACTCTGTACTCCTGCAGTGGCCAAAATGACTTTTAAGAATGTGGATTTTTGGGTCATCTTTGGCGCCCCCTAGAACGTAAACCGTGGGGTGCAGCGTCATGATTTTTACAACTTTGAATGGGCATGGGGTGTAGATTGCCCTGAGCAAATTTGGTATCGGTGGGACGAAAGCCTTAGGAGGAGATAGCCACATTCCAATGTGTGCGAATCGGCAAAAAATGCGAAATAGCCCTTTAACCGTACATTATACAGATACGCGCGCATTGACTTTTTCGTAGATCTAATTGAGATACACATGATTGTCAATTTTTGTGTCAATATGACAAAGCGTTCAGGCGTGACACTCAACAATGTGTATTTTCATGTAAGGGGACAAGAAAAAATTGACTTTTTTCTCCTGCCATGGGGGGGCGCTCTTTTGGGGAGTAAAAATTCCTTCACAAATGTGTTGATGGCTGGACATTGCATCATCCTAGAAAACTTGGAGGGCAGTGAGGACAAAAATAAAAAGTTATAAGACTTTTAAGAATGTGGATTTTGGGTTATCTTTGGCGCCCCCTAGAACGTAAACCGTGGGGTGCAGCGTCATGATTTGTACAACTTTTAATGGCCATGGGGTGTAGACTGGCCTGAGCAAATGTGGTGCCGGTGGAACGAAAGCCTTCGGAGGAGTTAGCGAAATTCCAATGTGTGCGGATCGGCAAAAAATGCGAAATAACCCTTTAACCGTACATTTGACAGATACGCCCGCACTGACTTTTTTGTAGATCTTATTGAGATACATATGTGTGTCAATTTTTGTGTCAATATGACAAAACGTACAGACGTGACAGTCAATAGTGTGAATTTCCACTTTAGGGGGCGCTATGGAGCCATTTTGCATTTTATTGTTTGGGCGACTACAGAATATCGAATTTTTCACCAGGCCCGGTCGTCCTGCCAAATTTCATGAGTTTTCGCCAGTGGGAAGTGGGCCATTTTCCAGTTTAAAGCGGAGGAAAAATAATAATAATAATAATAACAAAAGAAGAATCCATCAGGAACAAGAGGGCTCTCGCAGCTGCTTAGCAGCTACGCTCGGGCCCTAAAGAAACAAAGAAAAACCCCTTGGGGAATAATAGGGCCTACGCCCGGCTGCTCTGCAGCTGGCTCGGGCCCTAACTAGGGCCCCGTTGGGGCACTGGCGGGCCCGAGCCGTGTCACGCCGCCCCCAGCGGGACCGCCTCCCCCACCCGATCGCGTCACACTCAAGGTCCAAAGATGGTGTGCGCACTTGTTTGTGGTCATTTACCATTATAATGAACGGGAGGCGCAGTTTCTACCAAAACGCTAGCTGCAGAAAAACTCCATGTCCTATTTGAAAAAAGTCTGGACCATGAGTGAAGGCACAAACACAGCTAAGATATATCCAAATGGCAAGTTGCTCCTCTTTTCGCTTTTGCCGAGAGAGCAGTGCGTTTGAGCCATTGAATGATGAACAGGAAAAACTTGACTTTATTCTCCTGCCATGGGGGGGCGCTCTTTTGGCGAGTAAAAATTCCTTCACAAATTTGTTGATGGCTGGACATTGCATCATCCTAGAAAACTTGGAGGCCAGTGGGGACAAAAATAAAAAGTTATAAGACTTTTAAATATGTGGATTTTAGGGTTATCTTTGGCGCCCCCTAGAACCTAAACCGTGGGGTGCAGCGTCATGATTTGAATAACTTTTAATGGCCATGGGGTGTAGATTGGCCTGAGCAAATGTGGTGCCGGTGGAACGAAAGCCTTCGGAGGAGTTAGCGAAATTCCAATGTGTGCGAATCTGCAAAAAATGCGAAATAACCCTTTAACCGTACATTTTACAGATACGTGGCCATTGACTTTTTCGAAGATCTTATTGAAATACACGTGTATGTAAAATTTTGTGTCAATACGACAAAACATACAGGCGTAGCACTCAACAATGTGTATTTTCACCTTAGTGGACAAGAAAAAATGGACTTTTTTCTCCTGCCATGGGGGGCGCTCTTTTGGCGAGTAAAAATTCCTTCACAAATGTGTTGATGGCTGGACATTGCATCATCCTAGAAAACTTGGAGGCCAGTGGGGACAAAAATAAAAAGTTATAAGACTTTTAAATATGTGGATTTTACGGTTATCTTTGGCGCCCCCTAGAACCTAAACCGTGGGGTGCAGCGTCATGATTTGAATAACTTTTAATGGCCATGGGGTGTAGATTGGCCTGAGCAAATGTGGTGCCGGTGGAACAAAAGCCTTCGGAGGAGTTAGCGAAATTCCAATGTGTGCGGATCGGCAAAAAATGCGGAATAACCCTTTAACTGTACATTTGACAGATACGCGCGCATTGACTTTTTTGTAGATCTTATTGAGATACATGTGTATGTCAATTTTTGTGTCATTTTGCCAAAGCGTACAGGTGTTACACTCAACAATGTGTATTTTCACCTTAGGGGACAAGAAAAAATGGACTTTTTTCTCCTGCCATGGGGGGGCGCTCTTTTGGGGAGTAAAAATTCCTTCACAAATGTGTTGATGGCTGGACATTGCATCATCCTAGAAAACTTGGAGGCCAGTGAGGGCAAAAATAAAAAGTTATAAGACTTTTAAATATGTGGATCTTAGGGTTATCTTTGGCGCCCCCTAGAACCTAAACCGTGGGGTGCAGCGTCATGATTTGAATAACTTTTAATGGCCATGGGGTGTAGATTGGCCTGAGCAAATGTGGTGCCGGTGGAACGAAAGCCTTCGGAGGAGTTAGCGAAATTCCAATGTGTGCGGATCGGCAAAAAATGCGAAATAACCCTTTAACCGTACATTTGACAGATACGCCCGCACTGACTTTTTTGTAGATCTTATTGAGATACATGTGTGTGTCAATTTTTGTGTCATTTTGACAAAGCGTACCGGCGTGACAGTGAATAGTGTGAATTTTCACCTTAGGGGGCGCTATGGAGCCATTTTGCATTTTCTTGTTTGGGCGACTTCGGAATATCAAATTTTTCACCAGGCCCGGTCGTCCTGCCAAATTTCATGAGTTTTCGCCAGTGGGAAGTGGGCCATTTTCCAGTTCAAAGGGGAGGAAAAATAATAACTAGGGCCCCGGTGGGGCACTGTCGGGCCCGAGCCGCGTCGCGCCGCCCCCAGCGCGACCGCCTCCCCCTCCCGATCGCGTCACACTCAAGGTCCAAAGATGGTGTGCGCACTTGTCTGTGGTCATTTCCCATTATAATGAATGGGAGGCGCAGTTTCTACCAAAACACTCGCTGCAGACAAACTTCATGTCCTATTTGAAAAAAGTCTGGACCATGAGTGAGGGCACAAACACAGCTAGGATATATCCAAATGGCAGGTTGCTCCTCGTTACGGTGTTGCCGGGAGAGTGATGCGATTGAGCCATTGAGTGATGGGCAGGAAAAACTTGACTGTTTCTCCTGCCATGGGGGTTGGGGGATGGGGGGGGGGGGGTGGATTCTTTTAAGAATGTGGATATTTGGGTCATCTTTGGCGCCCCCTAGAACGTAAACCGTGGGGTGCAGCGTCATGATTTTTACAACTTTGAATGGCCATGGGGTGTAGATTGGCCTGAGCAAATTTGGTGTCAGTGGGACGAAAGCCTTAGGAGTAGTTAGCCACATTCCAATGTGTGCGAATCGGCAAAAAATGCAAAATATCCCTTTAACCGTACATTTTACAGATACGCGCGCATTGACTTTTTCGTAGATCTTATTGAGATACATGTGATTGTCAAATTTTGTGTCAATATGACAAAGCGTACAGGTATGACAGTCAACAATGTGTTTTTTCACCTTATGGGACAAGAAAAAATGGACTTTTTTCTCCTGCCATGGGGGGGCGCTCTTTTGGGGAGTAAAAATTCCTTCACAAATGTGTTGATGGCTGGACATTGCATCATCCTAGAAAACTTGGAGACCAGTGAGGGCAAAAATAAAAAGTTATAAGACTTTTAAATATGTGGATCTTAGGGTTATCTTTGGCGCCCCCTAGAACCTAAACCGTGGGGTGCAGCGTCATGATTTGAATAACTTTTAATGGCCATGGGGTGTAGATTGGCCTGAGCAAATGTGGTGCCGGTGGAACGAAAGCCTTCGGAGGAGTTAGCGAAATTCCAATGTGTGCGGATCGGCAAAAAATGCGAAATAACCCTTTAACCGTACATTTGACAGATACGCCCGCACTGACTTTTTTGTAGATCTTATTGAGATACATGTGTGTGTCATTTTTTGTGTCATTTTGACAAAGCATACAGGCGTGACAGTGAATAGTGTGAATTTTCACCTTAGGGGGCGCTATGGAGCCATTTTGCATTTTCTTGTTTGGGCGACTTCAGAATATCAAATTTTTCACCAGGCCCGGTCGTCCTGCCAAATTTCATGAGTTTTCGCCAGTGGGAAGTGGGCCATTTTCCAGTTCAAAGGGGAGGAAAAATAATAATAATAACAAACTAGGACCCCGTTGGGGCACTGGCGGGCCCGAGCCGTGTCGCGTCCCCCCCCCCCCCCCCCCCAACGTGCTGCCTCCCCGTCCCATTTGTGTCCTCTGGCCATCGCCCTCTCTGTTAACGCCCATCACTGCAAAGACCCTTTTCCTTCATCGGCGTTTGCTGTTCTTCCTGCCAGTGCGTGTTGCTTTCACTTACACTTGCCACAGCCAGCCTCGTGAGTGCCTAGCCTATTGGATATCACTGTCACCTACACAGGACAGTCATTACCTTTCTATTAATACTTTGTGTTTTAATTTCACATTAATTTCCATATTGTATAAACGACTGGAAAAAACTTGAGCCCCTGCCCCTGTATAATCATGTGCACGTCCCTGTTCTAGCTCCAAGGTGAATCTTCACTGCTCATGTTCTCCTCAGAAATAGTCACCTCACTCCCCTCAGGTTACTGTACACATGCACCAACTATCTGCTTCAGGTTTGAAATGGAGCTTCATGGTTGTCTTTTGGAGAAATGAACAGTCAAGTTGTGTTTGAAATTTGATTTTTTTCAGGGGCAAAAGGAGCCTCTGCATTCTTGTCAAATATGTAAATAGCATGTTTTTGCAGGTGCTAAAAACCAGACTCTGAGTGTGTGTGTGTGTGTGTGTGTGTGTGTGTGTGTGCGTGTGTGTGTGTCTGTGTGTGCGTTCAAGTCACATGACATATTTAACCGGATGTAGCTGCAAGACGGAGCCTCGTTGACTCTCCGTTTCAACTTATCTCAAAAGTGAGGACCTCAACCTATATACCAGTTTTTAAATTGTGTTGATAGGCCAAATAAAACCAGAGTTATGATAAATTATGTCCGCGATACTTTTTTTCTGCTTATTTTGATCACGTTCGGCGCTTGATCGCGCTGTATGAGACAGGAAAACATAGCATGCAGACATTAGCGACAGGTCTTACAGGCGGAAAAGGCTTGCCAAAAGAAAAAAAAACACACCACAACATCTCTCCTATTGGTGGAAAACTTCACCACAACAACCAATCCAAAATTATATGGTGACTGATTGACAAGGGGCGGGCGCTTACGTTCTTCCTGCAACATGAGAAGGGAGGGAGGGACTCTCAGCAGGGATGCAGTCTGGGACACGTAGTTGCAAACCTAGCGACTTTGTTGTTAGATTCAATGACTTTTCAGACCCCCTAACGACTTTTTTTAGAAAGAAAGGGACTTTTATCGACTTCTTCTGGAGTTTAGAGACTCTGACATGAAGCAGGCTTTCCTTACTGAGGAGTTAGCAACGCTGCTAAGGGTGCAGAGCCACACATGCGCTCAGAGCTCTGCATGGGAGACTGAAGCTGACAGAGCTGCAGCAGTTAGCAGGTTTCACCCTCAGAGACCACCAGGGGTTCATGTTGAGGCATTTTAATTTTTTTTTTTTTTGTGCCATAGACACTGTCAGCACAATCTGCAGTTACACTAACAAAAATGCTGCAAAAAACAAAGAATTATGGAAAAATTACACATGGACTGACATAGAGGAGGATCTACACAAGTTTTTTACATCATGTTTTACATCATGCATCATTTACATCATGTTTTTTTGTAGTGGCATAAATAAAAAGTGACATTTGTGAGACTATACAGTGTTTTGTAAATAATTTTACAAAGAACGCCTGGGCCATTGCCTGCATTTTGATGTAAATAGAGGTAAATTACTATGTTCTTTGTTAAAAATTTGCATATGTTTTGAAGTTTACAATTTTTATTTGAAGTTTAAGTTTTAAAAACAGTTCATCACACATATTTGTGGTTTAATTTCACATTAATTTCCATATTGTATAAATGACTGGAAAAAACTTGAGCCCCTGCCCCTGTATAATCATGTGCACGTCCCTGTTCTAGCTCCAAGGTGAATCTTCACTGCTCATGTTCTCCTCAGAAATAGTCACCTCACTCCCCTCAGGTTACTGTACACATGCACCAACTATCTGCTTCAGGTTTGAAATGGAGCTTCATGGTTGTCTTTTGGAGAAATGAACGGTCAAGTTGTGTTTGAAATTTGATTTTTTTCAGGGGCAAAAGGAAGCCTCTGCATTCTTGTCAAATATGTAAACAGCATGTTTTTGCAGGTGCTAAAAAACAGACTCTGAGTGTGTGTGTGTGTGTGTGTGTGTGTGTGTGTGTGTGTGTGTGTGTGTGTATGTTGGCGTGTGTGTATATGTGTGTGTATCCTGCAGTACTCTGTACTCCTGCAGTGGCCAAAAAGACTTTTAAGAATGTGGATTTTTGGGTCATCTTTGGCGCCCCCTAGAACTGCAGTACTCTGTACTCCTGCAGTGGCCAAAATGACTTTTAAGAATGTGGATTTTTGGGTCATCTTTGGCGCCCCCTAGAACGTAAACCGTGGGGTGCAGCGTCATGATTTTTACAACTTTGAATGGGCATGGGGTGTAGATTGCCCTGAGCAAATTTGGTATCGGTGGGACGAAAGCCTTAGGAGGAGATAGCCACATTCCAATGTGTGCGAATCGGCAAAAAATGCAAAATAGCCCTTTAACCGTACATTATAAAGATACGCGCTCTTTGACTTTTTCGTAGATCTAATTGAGATACACATGATTGTCAATTTTTGTGTCAATATGACAAAGCGTTCAGGTGTGACACTCAACAATGTGTATTTTCATGTAAGGGGACAAGAAAAAATTGACTTTTATCTCCTACCATGGGGGGGCGCTCTTTTGGGGAGTAAAAATTCCTTCACAAATGTGTTGATGGCTGGACATTGCATCATCCTAGAAAACTTGGAGGCCAGTGAGGACAAAAATAAAAAGTTATAAAACATTTAAGAATGTGGATTTTTGGGTTATTTTTGGCGCCCCCTAGAACCTAAACCATGGGGTGCAGCATCATGATTTGAATAACTTTTAATGGCCATGGGGTGTAGATTGGCCTGAGCAAATGTGGTGCCGGTGGAACGAAAGCCTTCGGAGGAGTTAGCGAAATTCCAATGTGTGCGTATCGGCAAAAAATGCGGAATAACCCTTTAACTGTACATTTGACAGATATGCGCGCATTGACTTTTTTGTAGATCTTATTGAGTTACATGTGTGTGTCAATTTTTGTGTCATTTTGACAAAGCGTATAGGCGTGACACTCAACAATGTGTATTTTCACCTTAGGGGACAAGAAAAAATGGACTTTTTTCTCCTGCCATGGGGGGGCGCTCTTTTGGGGAGTAAAAATTCCTTCACAAATGTGTTGATGGCTGGACATTGCATCATCCTAGAAAACTTGGAGGCCAGTGAGGACAAAAATAAAAAGTTATAAGACTTTTAAATATGTGGATTTTAGTGTTATCTTTGGCGCCCCCTAGAACCTAAACCGTGGGGTGCAGCGTCATGATTTTGATAACTTTTAATGGCCACGGGGTGTAGATTGGCCTGAGCAAATGTGGTGCCGGTGGAACGAAAGCCTTCGGAGGAGTTAGCGAAATTCCAATGTGTGCGGATCGGCAAAAAATGCGAAATAACCCTTTAACCGTACATTTGACAGATACGGCCGCACTGACTTTTTTGTAGATCTTATTGAGATACATATGTGTGTCAATTTTTGTGTCAATATGACAAAGCGTACAGGCGTGACAGTCAATAGTGTGAATTTCCACCTTAGGGGGCGCTATGGAGCCATTTTGCATTTTATTGTTTGGGCGACTTCAGAATATCGAATTTTTCACCAGGCCCGGTCGTCCTGCCAAATTTCATGAGTTTTCGCCAGTGGGAAGTGGGCCATTTTCCAGTTCAAAGGGGAGGAAAAAGAAGAAAGAAAGAAAGAAAGAAAGAAAGAAAGAAACAAAGAAAAACCACTTGGGGAATAATAGGGCCTACGCCCGGCTGCTCTGCAGCTGGCTCGGGCCCTAACTAGGACCCCGTTGGGGCACTGGCGGGCCCGAGCCGTGTCGCGCCCCCCCCCCCCAACGTGCTGCCTCCCCGTCCCATTTGTGTCCTCTGGCCATCGCCCTCTCTGGTAACGCCCATCACTGCAAAGACCCTTTTCCTTCATCGGCGTTTGCTGTTCTTCCTGCCAGTGCGTGTTGCTTTCACTTACACTTGCCACAGCCAGCCTCGTGAGTGCCTAGCCTATTGGATATCACTGTCACCTACACAGGACAGTCATTACCTTTCTATTAATACTTTGTGTTTTAATTTCACATTAATTTCCATATTGTATAAACGACTGGAAAAAACTTGAGCCCCTGCCCCTGTATAATCATGTGCATGTCTCTGTTCTAGCTCCAAGGTGAATCTTCACTGCTCATGTTCTCCTCAGAAGCACTCACCTCACTCCCCTCAGGTTACTGTACACATGCACCAACTGCCTGCTTCAGGTTTGGATGGAGCTTCATGGTTGTCTTTTGGAGAAATGACCAGTCAAGTTGTGTTTGAAATTTGATTTTTTTCAGGGGCAAAAGGAGCCTCTGCATTCTTGTCAAATATGTAAATAGCATGTTTTTGCAGGTGCTAAAAACCAGACTCTGAGTGTGTGTGTGTGTGTGTGTGTGTGTGTGTGTGTGTGTGTGTGTGTGTGCGTGTGTGTGTGTCTATGTGTGCGTTCAAGTCACATGACATATTTAACCTGATGTAGCTGCAGGACGGAGCCTCGTTGACTCTCCGTTTCAACTTATCTCAAAAGTGAGGACCTCAACCTATATACCAGTTTTTAAATTGTGTTGATAGGCCAAATAAAACCAGAGTTATGATAAATTATGTCCGCGATACTTTTTTTCTGCTTATTTTGATCACGTTCGGCGCTCGATCGCGCTGTATGAGACAGGAAAACATAGCATGCAGACATTAGCGACAGGTCTTACAGGCGGAAAAGGCTTGCCAAAAGAAAAAAAAAACACACCACAACATCTCTCCTATTGGTGGAAAACTTCACCACAACAACCAATCCAAAATTATATGGTGACTGATTGACAAGGGGCGGGCGCTTACGTTCTTCCTGCAACATGAGAAGGGAGGGAGGGACTCTCAGCAGGGATGCAGTCTGGGACACGTAGTTGCAAACCTAGCGACTTTGTTGTTAGATTCAATGACTTTTCAGACACCCTAACGACTTTTTTTTAGAAAGAAAGGGACTTTTATCGACTTCTTCTGGAGTTTAGAGACTCTGACATGAAGCAGGCTTTCCTTACTGAGGAGTTAGCAACGCTGCTAAGGGTGCAGAGCCACACATGCGCTCAGAGCTCTGCATGGGAGACTGAAGCTGACAGAGCTGCAGCAGTTAGCAGGTTTCACCCTCAGAGACCACCAGGGGTTCATGTTGAGGCATTTTATTTTATTTTTTTTTTTGTGCCATAGACACTGTCAGCAAAATCTGCAGTTACACTAACAAAAATGCTGCAAAAAACAAAGAATTATGGAAAAATTACACATGGACTGACATAGAGGAGGATCTACACAAGTTTTTTACATCATGTTTTACATCATGCATCATTTACATCATGTTTTTTTGTAGTGGCATAAATAAAAAGTGACATTTGTGAGACTATACAGTGTTTTGTAAATAATTTTACAAAGAACGCCTGGGCCATTGCCTGCATTTTGATGTAAATAGAGGTAAATTACTATGTTCTTTGTTAAAAATTTGCATATGTTTTGAAGTTTACAATTTTTATTTGAAGTTTAAGTTTTAAAAACAGTTCATCACACATATTTGTGGTTTAATTTCACATTAATTTCCATATTGTATAAATGACTGGAAAAAACTTGAGCCCCTGCCCCTGTATAATCATGTGCACGTCCCTGTTCTAGCTCCAAGGTGAATCTTCACTGCTCATGTTCTCCTCAGAAATAGTCACCTCACTCCCCTCAGGTTACTGTACACATGCACCAACTATCTGCTTCAGGTTTGAAATGGAGCTTCATGGTTGTCTTTTGGAGAAATGAACAGTCAAGTTGTGTTTGAAATTTGATTTTTTTCAGGGGCAAAAGGAAGCCTCTGCATTCTTGTCAAATATGTAAACAGCATGTTTTTGCAGGTGCTAAAAAACAGACTCTGAGTGTGTGTGTGTGTCTGTGTGTGTGTGTGTGTGTGTGTGTGTGTGTGTGTGTGTATGTTGGCGTGTGTGTATATGTGTGTGTATCCTGCAGTACTCTGTACTCCTGCAGTGGCCAAAAAGACTTTTAAGAATGTGGATTTTTGGGTCATCTTTGGCGCCCCCTAGAACTGCAGTACTCTGTACTCCTGCAGTGGCCAAAATGACTTTTAAGAATGTGGATTTTTGGGTCATCTTTGGCGCCCCCTAGAACGTAAACCGTGGGGTGCAGCGTCATGATTTTTACAACTTTGAATGGGCATGGAGTGTAGATTGCCCTGAGCAAATTTGGTATCGGTGGGATGAAAGCCTTAGGAGGAGATAGCCACATTCCAATGTGTGCGAATCGGCAAAAAATGCAAAATAGCCCTTTAACCGTACATTATACAGATACGCGCTTTTTGACTTTTTCGTAGATCTAATTGAGATACACATGATTGTCAATTTTTGTGTCAATATGACAAAGCGTTCAGGCGTGACACTCAACAATGTGTATTTTTATGTAAGGGGACAAGAAAAAATTGACTTTTTTCTCCTACCATGGGGGGGCGCTCTTTTGGGGAGTAAAAATTCCTTCACAAATGTGTTGATGGCTGGACATTGCATCATCCTAGAAAACTTGGAGGCCAGTGAGGACAAAAATAAAAAGTTATAAAACATTTAAGAATGTGGATTTTTGGGTTATTTTTGGCGCCCCCTAGAACCTAAACCATGGGGTGCAGCATCATGATTTGAATAACTTTTAATGGCCATGGGGTGTAGATTGGCCTGAGCAAATGTGGTGCCGGTGGAACGAAAGCCTTCGGAGGAGTTAGCGAAATTCCAATGTGTGCGTATCGGCAAAAAATGCGGAATAACCCTTTAACTGTACATTTGACAGATACGCGCGCATGGACTTTTTTGTAGATCTTATTGAGTTACATGTGTGTGTCAATTTTTGTGTCATTTTGACAAAGCGTATAGGCGTGACACTCAACAATGTGTATTTTCACCTTAGGGGACAAGAAAAAATGGACTTTTTTCTCCTGCCATGGGGGGGCGCTCTTTTGGGGAGTAAAAATTCCTTCACAAATGTGTTGATGGCTGGACATTGCATCATCCTAGAAAACTTGGAGGCCAGTGAGGACAAAAATAAAAAGTTATAAGACTTTTAAATATGTGGATTTTAGTGTTATCTTTGGCGCCCCCTAGAACCTAAACCTTGGGGTGCAGCGTCATGATTTTGATAACTTTTAATGGCCACGGGGTGTAGATTGGCCTGAGCAAATGTGGTGCCGGTGGAACGAAAGCCTTCGGAGGAGTTAGCGAAATTCCAATGTGTGCGGATCGGCAAAAAATGCGAAATAACCCTTTAACCGTAATTTTGACAGATACGGCCGCACTGACTTTTTTGTAGATCTTATTGAGATACATATGTGTGTCAATTTTTGTGTCAATATGACAAAGCGTACAGGCGTGACAGTCAATAGTGTGAATTTCCACCTTAGGGGGCGCTATGGAGCCATTTTGCATTTTATTGTTTGGGCGACTTCAGAATATCGAATTTTTCACCAGGCCCGGTCGTCCTGCCAAATTTCATGAGTTTTCGCCAGTGGGAAGTGGGCCATTTTCCAGTTCAAAGGGGAGGAAAAAGAAGAAACTAGGGCCCCGTTGGGGCACTGGCGGGCCCGAGCCGTGTCACGCCGCCCCCAGCGCGACCACCTCCCCCACCCGAGCGCGTCACACTCAAGGTCCAAAGATGGTGTGCGCACTTGTTTGTGGTCATTTACCATTATAATGAACGGGAGGCGCAGTTTCTACCAAAACGCTCGCTGCAGAAAAACTCCATGTCCTATTTGAAAAAAGTCTGGACCATGAGTGAGGGCACAAACACAGCTAAGATATATCCAAATGGCAAGTTGCTCCTCCTTTCGCTTTTGCCGAGAGAGCAGTGCGTTTGAGCCATTGAATGATGAACAGGAAAAACTTGACTTTATTCTCCTGCCATGGGGGGGCGCTCTTTTAACGAGAAAAAACTCCTTCACAAATGTGTTGATGGCTGGACATTGCATCATCCTAGAAAACATGGAGGCCAGTGAGGACAAAAATAAAAAGTTATAAGACTTTTAAATATGTGGATTTTAGGGTTATCTTTGGCGCCCCCTAGAACCTAAACCGTGGGGTGCAGCGTCATGATTTGAATAACTTTTAATGGCCATGGGGTGTAGATTGGCCTGAGCAAATGTGGTGCCGGTGGAACGAAAGCCTTCGGAGGAATTAGCGAAATTCCAATGTGTGCGAATCTGCAAAAAATGCGAAATAACCCTTTAACCGTACATTTGACAGATACGCGTGCATTGACTTTTTCGAAGATCTTATTGAAAGACACGTGTATGTAAAATTTTGTGTCAATACGACAAAACATACAGGCGTAGCACTCAACAATGTGTATTTTCACATTAGTGGACAAGAAAAAATGGACTTTTTTCTCCTGCCATGGGGGGGCGCTCTTTTGCCGAGTAAAAATTCCTTCACAAATGTGTTGATGGCTGGACATTGCATCATCCTAGAAAACTTGGAGGCCAGTGGGGACAAAAATAAAAAGTTATAAGACTTTTAAATATGTGGATTTTAGGGTTATCTTTGGCGCCCCCTAGAACCTAAACCGTGGGGTGCAGCGTCATGATTTGAATAACTTTTAATGGCCATGGGGTGTAGATTGGCCTGAGCAAATGTGGTGCCGGTGGAACGAAAGCCTTCGGAGGAGTTAGCGAAATTCCAATGTGTGCGGATCGGCAAAAAATGCGGAATAACCCTTTAACCGTACATTTGACAGATACGTGCGCATTGACTTTTTTGTAGATCTTATTGAGATACATGTGTGTGTCAATTTTGGTGTCATTTTGCCAAAGCCTACAGGTGTTACACTCAACAATGTGTATTTTCACCTTAGGGGACAAGAAAAAATGGACTTTTTTCTCCTGCCATGGGGGGGCGCTCTTTTGGGGAGTAAAAATTCCTTCACAAATGTGTTGATGGCTGGACATTGCATCATCCTAGAAAACTTGGAGGCCAGTGAGGGCAAAAATAAAAAGTTATAAGACTTTTAAATATGTGGATCTTAGGGTTATCTTTGGCGCCCCCTAGAACCTAAACCGTGGGGTGCAGCGTCATGATTTGAATAACTTTTAATGGCCATGGGGTGTAGATTGGCCTGAGCAAATGTGGTGCCGGTGGAACGAAAGCCTTCGGAGGAGTTAGCGAAATTCCAATGTGTGCGGATCGGCAAAAAATGCGAAATAACCCTTTAACCGTACATTTGACAGATACGCCCGCACTGACTTTTTTGTAGATCTTATTGAGATACATGTGTGTGTCAATTTTTGTGTCATTTTGACAAAGCGTACAGGCGTGACAGTCAATAGTGTGAATTTTCACCTTAGGGGGCGCTATGGAGCCATTTTGCATTTTCTTGTTTGGGCGACTTCGGAATATCAAATTTTTCACCAGGCCCGGTCGTCCTGCCAAATTTCATGAGTTTTCGCCAGTGGGAAGTGGGCCATTTTCCAGTTCAAAGGGGAGGAAAAATAATAATAATAATAATAATAACAAAAGAAGGAAACTACAGGAACAAGAGGGCTCTCGCAGCTGCTTAGCAGCTACGCTCGGGCCCTAAGAAAGAAAGAACTAGGACCCCGTTGGGGCACTGGCGGGCCCGAGCTGTGTCGCGTCCCCCCCCCAACGCGCTGCCTCCCCGTCCCATTTGTGTCCTCTGGCCATCGCCCTCTTTGGTAACGCCCATCACTGCAAAGACCCTTTTCCTTCATCGGCGTTTGCTGTTCTTCCTGCCAGTGCGTGTTGCTTTCACTTACACTTGCCACAGCCAGCCTCGTGAGTGCCTAGCCTATTGGATATCACTGTCACCTACACAGGACAGTCATTACCTTTCTATTAATACTTTGTTTTTTAATTTCACATTAATTTCCAAATTGTATAAACGACTGGAAAAAACTTGAGCCCCTGCCCCTGTATAATCATGTGCACGTCTCTGTTCTAGCTCTAAGGTAAATCTTCACTGCTCATGTTCTCCTCAGAAGCAGTCACCTCACTCCCCTCAGGTTACTGTACACATGCACCAACTGCCTGCTTCAGGTTTGGATGGAGCTTCATGGTTGTCTTTTGGAGAAATGACCAGTCAAGTTGTGTTTGAAATTTGATTTTTTTCAGGGGCAAAAGGAGCCTCTGCATTCTTGTCAAATATGTAAATAGCATGTTTTTGCAGGTGCTACAAACCAGACTCTGAGTGTGTGTGTGTGCGTGTGTGTGTGTGTCTGTGTGTGTGTGTGTGTGTGTGTGTGTGTGCGTTCAAGTCACATGACATATTTAACCGGATGTAGCTGCAAGACGGAGCCTCGTTGACTCTCCGTTTCAATTTATCTCAAAAGTGAGGACCTCAACCTATATACCAGTTTTTAAATTGTGTTGATAGGCCAAATAAAACCAGAGTTATGATAAATTATGTCCGCGATACTTGTTTTCTGCTTATTTTGATCACGTTCGGCGCTCGATCGCGCTGTATGAGACAGGAAAACATAGCATGCAGACATTAGCGACAGGTCTTACAGGCGGAAAAGGCTTGCCAAAGGAAAAAAAATACACACCACAACATCTCTCCTATTGGTGGAAAACTTCACCACAACAACCAATCCAAAATTATATGGTGACTGATTGACAAGGGGCGGGAACTTACGTTCTTCCTGCAATATGAGAAGGGAGGGAGGGACTCTCAGCAGGGATGCAGTCTGGGACACGTAGTTGCAAACCTAGCGACTTTGTTGTTAGATTCAATGACTTTTCAGACCCCTAACGACTTTTTTAGAAAGAAAGTGACTTTTATCGACTTCTTCTGGAGTTTAGAGACTCTGACATGAAGCAGGCTTTCCTTACTGAGGAGTTAGCAACGCTGCTAAGGGTGCAGAGCCACACATGCGCTCCGAGCTCTGCATGGGAGACTGAAGCTGACAGAGCTGCAGCAGTTAGCAGGTTTCACCCTCAGAGACCACCAGGGGTTCATGTTGAGGCATTTTCAGTTTTTTTTTTTTTTGTGCCATAGACACTGTCAGCACAATCTGCAGTTACACTAACAAAAATGCTGCAAAAAACAAAGAATTATGGAAAAATTACACATGGACTGACATAGAGGAGGATCTACACAAGTTTTTTACATCATGTTTTACATCATGCATCATTTACATCATGTTTTTTTGTAGTGGCATAAATAAAAAGTGACATTTGTGAGACTATACAGTGTTTTGTAAATAATTTTACAAAGAACGCCTGGGCCATTGCCTGCATTTTGATGTAAATAGAGGTAAATTACTATGTTCTTTGTTAAAAATTTGCATATGTTTTGAAGTTTACAATTTTTATTTGAAGTTTAAGTTTTAAAAACAGTTCATCACACATATTTGTGGTTTAATTTCACATTAATTTCCATATTGTATAAATGACTGGAAAAAACTTGAGCCCCTGCCCCTGTATAATCATGTGCACGTCCCTGTTCTAGCTCCAAGGTGAATCTTCACTGCTCATGTTCTCCTCAGAAATAGTCACCTCACTCCCCTCAGGTTACTGTACACATGCACCAACTATCTGCTTCAGGTTTGAAATGGAGCTTCATGGTTGTCTTTTGGAGAAATGAACAGTCAAGTTGTGTTTGAAATTTGATTTTTTTCAGGGGCAAAAGGAAGCCTCTGCATTCTTGTCAAATATGTAAACAGCATGTTTTTGCAGGTGCTAAAAAACAGACTCTGAGTGTGTGTGTGTGTCTGTGTGTGTGTGTGTGTGTGTGTGTGTGTGTGTGTATGTTGGCGTGTGTGTATATGTGTGTGTATCCTGCAGTACTCTGTACTCCTGCAGTGGCCAAAAAGACTTTTAAGAATGTGGATTTTTGGGTCATCTTTGGCGCCCCCTAGAACTGCAGTACTCTGTACTCCTGCAGTGGCCAAAATGACTTTTAAGAATGTGGATTTTTGGGTCATTTTTGGCGCCCCCTAGAACGTAAACCGTGGGGTGCAGCGTCATGATTTTTACAACTTTGAATGGGCATGGGGTGTAGATTGCCCTGAGCAAATTTGGTATCGGTGGGACGAAAGCCTTAGGAGGAGATAGCCACATTCCAATGTGTGCGAATCGGCAAAAAATGCAAAATAGCCCTTTAACCGTACATTATACAGATACGCGCTCTTTGACTTTTTCGTAGATCTAATTGAGATACACATGATTGTCAATTTTTGTGTCAATATGACAAAGCGTTCAGGCGTGACACTCAACAATGTGTATTTTTATGTAAGGGGACAAGAAAAAATTGACTTTTTTCTCCTACCATGGGGGGGCGCTCTTTTGGGGAGTAAAAATTCCTTCACAAATGTGTTGATGGCTGGACATTGCATCATCCTAGAAAACTTGGAGGCCAGTGAGGACAAAAATAAAAAGTTATAAAACATTTAAGAATGTGGATTTTTGGGTTATTTTTGGCGCCCCCTAGAACCTAAACCATGGGGTGCAGCATCATGATTTGAATAACTTTTAATGGCCATGGGGTGTAGATTGGCCTGAGCAAATGTGGTGCCGGTGGAACGAAAGCCTTCGGAGGAGTTAGCGAAATTCCAATGTGTGCGTATCGGCAAAAAATGCGGAATAACCCTTTAACTGTACATTTGACAGATACGCGCGCATGGACTTTTTTGTAGATCTTATTGAGTTACATGTGTGTGTCAATTTTTGTGTCATTTTGACAAAGCGTATAGGCGTGACACTCAACAATGTGTATTTTCACCTTAGGGGACAAGAAAAAATGGACTTTTTTCTCCTGCCATGGGGGGCGCTCTTTTGGGGAGTAAAAATTCCTTCA